CTCTGCTGTTTCGACTGTGTGCCTTGTGCAGAGGGAGAGATCAGCAACCACACAGGTGCTCATCGGACATTCTTTCTTATCTCTACAGTGAAAGAGTAAAAGGAAAGTTAAAAAATAGAGTACTGTTCCTCAAAAGTGTGTATAATTTCATTAAATGTATACATTCAGTACCACCTATATTTGAGTGTGTTTCAGACCTGTGTAATCAGTGCTTCACTTTTTAGTTAACATAAACCTTTTAGAGTAACACTAGTTCAGAGCAGATATGCTGATTTTAAATGTCGACCACAAAATCCAGATTTATCTGAATTGTTTCCAATTCTAACTATAGTATACTTCAGATCTAACTCATACTGTATACAGTATGTGTTTTCTATTTTTCATGGAAAACCATAAAACTTGCAGAAAAGTTTTTTCTTTTTGTATAGCTCATGCATGCAAATACTGTAGTCGCCTCACATATTACTATTGACTGAATTCACTGCCTCTTGAAACACAACTAATACTAATTTCCTTACTTCACAGTTAAGCACTGCATCACTGGTAATAATATAATGCAAAGGCAATTAAAAAATAGCTAAGGTTTAGTTTTTTAATAGAGTTGCATATAAATAAATATTGTTCTCTCACCTAACATTCAACCCTATTTTAGCTTTCATTTAATTTAGTATAAATTGTTCTGGCTTTTACTCCATGAAATTTGGTTTCACAGAGACATTCTCTGAAGAAATGCCTCTTTTTATTTTTACTTTGAGGAGTAATGATTACTGTAATTAGACATTATTGCCATGCTGGAAAAAGTAATTAGACCTTTTCTCTTTCAGATTCAGTTGATTGTTTCCAATGTCCACTATATTCTTGGTCAAACCCAAGCAGAGACCAGTGTGTGTTGAAGGAAATCGAGTTTCTTTCATATGAGGATGTTTTAGGAATTTCTTTGAGTGTAGTCTCTGTATTTGGAGCATGTATTTCAGCTGCAGTTTTAGCTGTGTTCATTTACTACAGGAACACCCCAGTTGTAAGAGCCAACAATTCTGAACTGAGCTTCCTACTGCTGCTTTCTCTAATACTCTGCTTCCTCTGCTCATTGCTGTTTATTGGTCAGCCACTACACCTCACCTGTATGCTGAGACATGTTGTGTTTGGAATCAGTTTTGTTTTGTGCATATCTTGCATTCTTGTGAAAACCATTGTTGTCATCATGGCCTTCAGAGCCACACTGCCAGACAATAATGTTATGAAGTGGTTTGGTGCTGCACAACAGAGAGGCACTGTTTTTGTCTTTACTGTAATCCAGGCTCTGATCTGTATCATATGGCTGAGTACAGCATCCCCTGTGCCTTTTAAAAACACACAGTATCAAAACTCAAAAATCATTTTTCAGTGTAACGTCGGATCAATAACTGGATTTAGTTGCCTGCTGGGGTACATAGGCTTGCTAGCCAGTGTCTGCTTTCTGCTGGCTTTCCTTGCAAGGAACCTGCCTGACAACTTCAATGAAGCCAAGTTCATCACTTTCAGCATGCTCATCTTCTGTGCAGTTTGGATCGCTTTCATACCAGCTTATGTCAGCTCTCCTGGGAAATACTCGGACGCTGTGGAGATTTTTGCCATCTTGGCTTCAAGCTTTGGTCTCCTCACTGCAATATTTGCACCAAAATGTTACATCATTCTGCTTTGTCCAGAGAAAAATACAAAGAAAGCTCTTATGCGCAGAGCAGCTCTTAGTAAGTAAATATATTATTCCAGTTTCTGTGTTGTTATTATTTCAGGATTTTGCTACAAAATGTCAAATTATATTGATTTGTCCAAAGGAAAATATCAAAAAGGCTTCATGTATAGATCAGTGTCCAAGTAATTTAATTCTGATTTCACTGTTGGTTTTAGCATTAATAATTTAGGGAGGGTCAGTCAGTGCTGTGTCAGTTTTATCTGTTCAGCATTTGAGTTGATAAAATGTTTATTTCCAAATATTAGCTTTCATTACCTGAAATTTTGCAATGTATGAAGAAAGGTTTTAGGTCCATTGCTTTTTATGTTTCAAGACAAATTGCTTTTTGCTTTCAAGACAAATGCAAATGCAAGAAAAACAGTGATTTGTTGCCCTTACACAATTGTTCTTCCTATGATTGTTGTCTAACTTTATATGACGATAAGATTTTGTCATAGAAAAACTGATTGCATGAAAATGCTATCTCAGCCTAATGTTATTTCACAGGTTACACACTGTTTTTTCTTTGGAATCTTGCCACTTGACTACTGTATACCTGCACTCTAAAACTAAAACATAAGTCTTTTTCAGTTTGTTGAAACTAGTACAGAAATCTAGCGACATAGCTATTATAGCACAGAAACTTCTGTTCTCTATACAAAATGAATGCAAATAAAGTTTTTTCGAAATTTTGGTTTCTTTGTAATTTATTCACTCACTCTCTACAGAGGGAGATGGGGGCTCTATACACTTAAGGTGCTATTTGTCCCAGTGGTATAAATAATGTAGTAATATTTGATTCAAAAAGACAAGGGAAGTCTTTATTGCTGTTGAAAATACCTCCCAAACTGTTGTCTTTTCTTCTGAATGATTTACAATCTGATCAGCCTTAGCATAATTAGGAAATATCTGAGGTATTGGGAGCTGCTTTTTCCAGAAATTAGATAGACTTAAGCACATGCTAAAATTTCAACAGCAAACTCTGGTTTAACAAAAATACCATAGGCAATAATAAGATTCTGGTATACTGTAAGTACATTGGTATAACTCAGCTTTTGTGTTCTGCAATTTTTTTTTTATCAAATACAGTAACAGCAGCTTTGGGATGTCTCCTTGCATCCCATTTAAAACATGTGACATCACAAAAAACATCATAAACAACTCAAAGTTCCCAACGGGCAAAGGTTTTGCCTATATACAGTATCGTGTGTTTTTTACATCACAACGACCGAAGCTGTGTACTTAGCAGAGATGATATTCACACATTGCGTTTTGTTATTATTGGAGCTAGTTTTTCTTGT